GCCTCTGTGGTAGTAGCTACATTGGGGAGAGAGACAGCTGCGAGGCGCTGTTATACTCCATGTTATAAACCATACCATTAACCGTGGTGTGAGAGGTATTAAGAGTCAATGCCAGCGAAAGAGCTGCGGTCTGAAGGTCATCGTAAAATACAATTAATTAAGAATGGAAATGGTTTAAAACATCTTTCCAATGGTTACTAAGCCAGAATCCATCTTCTCGGTTGAAATTGTCTCTGTGCTTGTATATGTGAATGGCCTCATGAACGAATCTCTCATGGTAGCCGGTTGGTTTGCAAAGAACCTCCGTCTTGGAGAAGTCAATGTCATGTGAGCCCACTGAATTATAACAGTGATCTGCCACGGCAGAGGAGTTCGTTTTACCGTGTTTCAAGTCTGCTTTATGTTCGCGGATGCGGTCCGAGATATGTGGTTTGGTTTCTCCAATGTAGCTACTACCACAGAGGCACTTTAGTTTGTAAACGCCCGGGTACTGTATGTCTGGAACTTCATCTTTTACAGATGGAACCAGATCATGTATTTTATGTACTGTGTTGAATCGGACCTGGCTCTTGTGTTTATTCAGGATTTTGGAGATCTTTTTAGTGACCCCTGCAATGTAGGGTAAGGTGATGGTTTTGAGTGGCTCCACAAGAGGACCCTTCTTCATGACTGGAATGATGGCTTTGCGGATTGTGTAGTCGGAGTAATCATTAGCCCTGAGAGCCTGGTGTACGTGCTTGAGTTCACTGGTAATGTGTTCCTGGTCGGAAATGCATTGGGTTCTATGGTATAGAGTCTTGATGAGGGAGTTCTTCTGGGATGAATGGTGGTGGGAATCCGGTTTCAAGTAAGCATCTGTATGGGTAGCTTTCCTGTAGACAGAGTGGCTCATTGAACCATCATGTCTCCTTTTAATAAACACATCCAAAAAGGGTAGTTTGCCATCTTTTTCGACCTCCATGGTAAATCTGATGGCTGGGTGTATGGAATTGATGTGGTCGCGGAATTGGTCTAGAGCAGGCTGGCCATGTGGCCAGATGACAAAGGTGTCATCCACGTACCTCTTCCATAAGGTCGGGCGTAGAGTGGAGTCTGGATGGCGTCAGTTGAAGTATGTGTTGGATAAGCAATGTCTCACCAGGGTGGGTACATCAGTGTGCAGTCCTTGATGAACCTGGTCTTCAATGATAGCGATGGTGTCAGGTACCAGGACTTTGGTGAACAAGGACACCACATCAAAACTGACAAGCAGGTCGTCTGGGGACAGGGAAATGCCTTTGATTGTCGATACCAGGTGAGTAGAATTTAGTACCGCAGAGGTGGTTTTTCCACTGAAAGGTCGCAGTATATCAGCATAAACTGGCACGTTTTCTTCCTGATATACTGCGACCTTTCACTGGAAAAACCACCTCTGCGGTACTAAATTATACTCACCTGGTATCGACAATCAAAGGCATTTCCTTGTCCCCAGACGACCTGCTTGTCAGTTTTGATGTGGTGTCCTTGTTCACCAAAGTCCCGGTACCTGATACCATCGCTATCATTGAAGACCTGGTCCATCAAGGACTGCATACTGATGTACCCCCCCTGGTGAGACATTGCTTAACCAACACATACTTCACCTGGAATGGAACTTTCTACAAACAAACTGAGGGCACCCCAATGGGCCCCCCCCTATCTCCGGTTGTAGACAACGTATTCATGGAAAAATTTGAAACTGACGCCATCCAGACTGCCACTCTACGCCCGACCTTATGGAAGAGGTACGTGGATGACACCTTTGTCATCTGGCCACATGGCCAGCCTGCTCTAGACCAATTCCGCGACCACATCAATTCCATACACCCAGCCATCAGATTTACCATGGAGGTCGAAAAAGATGGCAAACTACCCTTATTGGATGTCTTTATTAAAAGGAGACATGATGGTTCAATGAGCCACTCTGTCTACAGGAAAGCTACCCATACAGATGCTTACTTGAAACCGGATTCCCACCACCATCCATCCCAGAAGAAGTCCCTCATCAAGACTCTATACCATAGAGCCCAATGCATTTCCGGCCAGGAACACATTACCAGTGAACTCAAGCACGTACACCAGGCTCTCAGGGCTAATGGTTACTCCGACTACACAATCCACAAAGCCATCACTCCAGTCATGAAGAAGGATCCTCTTGTGGAGCCACTCAAAACCATCACCTTACCCTACATTGCAGGGGTCATGAAAAAGATCTCCAAAATCCTGAATAAACACAAGATCCAGGTCCGATTCAGAACAGTACATAAAATACCTGATCTGGTTCCATCTGTAAAATATGCTGTTCCAGACATACAGTACCCGGGTGTTTACAAACTAAAGTGCCTCTGTGGTAGTAGCTACATTGGAGAAACCAAACGACATATCTCGGACCGCATCCGCGAACATAAAGCAGACTTGAAACACGGTAAAATGAACTCCTCTGCCGTGGCAGATCACTGTTATAATTCAGTGGGCTCACATGACATTGACTTCTCCAAGACGGAGGTTCTTTGCAAACCAACCGGCTACCATGAGAGATTCGTTCATGAGGCCATTCACATATACAAGCACAGAGACAATTTCAACCGAGAAGATGGATTCTGGCTTAGTAACCATTGGAAAGATGTTTTAAACCATTTCCGTTCTTAATTAATTGTATTTTACGATGACCTTCAGACCGCAGCTCTTTCGCTGGCATTGACTCTTAATACCTCTCACACCACGGTTAATGGTATGGTTTACAACATGGAGTATAACAGCGCCTCGCAGCTGTCTCTCTCCCCCTCCTCCGTTCCGACCATGGATGAACTCGTCCGTCTGAACGGGGCTCGTAGCTATCCGTGGTGCTAAAGTTGAGGGTAAGAATCCACCCATTTTTTCGCCATATAGCATTGTGATATATAACGACTTATTGTTGGTAGCTTAGCTGATTGGAGAATATATAGAGTTTATTGATAACATTGAGGTAATTTATATTTTAGTTTTTTTATTGGTTCACTATATAGTATTCATTATATAGTGTAGTGTATACCCAGTTACTGTGAATAGCTCAGATGTGTAGGCTTTGACTTCAACATAGCCATTTCTGTGACCAGTCACAAGCTAATCACTCAGTTATTTCAATGCTAAATTCTCCTAGTTATTTCAATGCTAAAATCTCCTGTTTGATTTGTACTAGGTGCCTCTGTGAATGTGTATGCTCTGACTTTAACATAGCTATTTCTGTGAACAGTCACAAGGCAATCACTCAGCTATTTCAATGCTAAATTCTATGCTAATTCCTTTGTCGAGGCGCTTTGTTTCTCATCACACAGCTTAAAGGTCGCGATCTGAGCGTGGCTTTGTTCGCTCCAGCGCTGTCCTCCAGACAGTCTCGTCCCTTCACCTGATGAAGGCCGCTTGTGTTGTGGCCGAAACGTCGTGAGAATTTTATTGTTATTTTATTTTATCAATTTATTATTTTATTCTCATTCTACGTGACTTTACCGAAAGAACCAAAGAAGATTAATCCTTGCAGTCACGAAAGCTTTAAATCGAAATTTAAATACAAGCTAATCCCTCAGCTATTTGATATGTAAACCCCCTTTGTCAAGGTGCCTCACTTCTCCCAACCAGCTTAAAGTCGCTACGAATCTAAACAGCGTTCATTGCAGCTCTGTGGATGTGTAGGTTTTTACTTTAACATCTATTTCTGTGACCAGTCACAAGCTAATCCCTTAGCTATTTCAATGCTAAATTACTAGTTGCCTCTGTGGATGTGTAGGTTTTGACTTTAACATAGCCATTTCTGTGACCAGTCACAAGCTAATCCCTCAGCTATTTGCACAAGCTAATCCCTTAGCTATTGCAATGCTAAATTACTAGTTGCCTCTGTGGATGTGTAGGTTTTGACTTTAACATAGCCATTTCCGTGACCAGTCACAAGCTAATCCCTTTGCTATTTCAATGCTAAATTACTAGTTGCCTCTGTGGATGTGTAGGTTTTGACTTTAACATAGCCATTCCTGTGACCAGTCACAAGCTAATCCCTCAGCTATTTGATATGTAAACGAATCTTAACATCGTTCATTGAAGCTCTGTCGTCCCGACAGGTCTGTACCCTTCACCTGAAGACGGCCGCGTGCGTTGTGGCCGAAACGTCGTGAGAATTTTATTGTGTTATTTTATTATTTTATTCTCATTCTACGTGACTTTACCGAAAGAACCAAAGAAGATGAATCCTTGCAGTCACGAAAGCTTTAATTCGAAATTTAAAACGTTTAAACTTTGATTAGCGCATCGTGTAGAGCTCGTCGAGAGAAATAGATTGCCGTATCGTTCACCTTCAACAGGCATAAAGAGACGTCGCAACGTAGTTTATGTGACCCCGGGGTTCCCGCTATAAAGTTAATTTGACTGTTCTTCACCACGCCGCTCAGTGCGCGTTGAAGCCGGGGGAGGCATAGACGTGGGAGCAAAGGAGTACAGTCGAACAATGTTGTTGTTGTTTTATCCTTCTGCAATGCACATAACGTAGCACAACTCCACAGCCGAACTATGACAACCCGGGGTGCGTTGTGTTCGCACAACCCAAGCGCTATCCAGGCTCAGCCCCGTTCAGCGTCCGAGACGTAAGTACTACACGTGCACTTCTTTCGCACCGTACGTAGCCACCGACCGCGCTAATCGGGAGGTGGACGGGGGTGGGGGAATGATAACAAGCTAAGCGCAAAAAGATGGGCGGATTGCGGGTGGTTTAGTCACAGGCTGGGTCCATTCGTAACGTCGCTGAATATATTTTGATTTATTACGCGGACGATCCCGTTTCGCCAGCTTCCCGGCTGTTGTACGCGGGACAAACGTGGCGTGTACAGCGCAGGCCGCAATCACGACGGAAATGTCAATGGTGCAGCAGAGAACGAGTCAAGGGTGTTACGGCAATATAGCCGGTCCTAACGTGCACTATTCATATGATTTCATGTAATTTTCGGAAATAATCGATTAGGCGCACGACTTTTTTTTTATGCTCCCGACTAACGAATTACGTCATGTCGCGGCGGCACGTACCGCTCGGTGCAGCCTCGCGACTGGTGACATGGCGTCACCGGGTTTTTAAAGCGTCACGCATAAGCGTAGCGACGTCATCGCGGCGCAGAGCCGCGAACGCGAACTCGATCGAAACGAACAAATTAAAGGGACGCGGATTTACATTCGCCACGTCGCCCAATTCTTCTTTAACGTCCATAAACGCGGCACCTCGTGTGTTCTCGGCTCTCACTTGGACAACTCGATGTATTCCAGTAACTTTCGGCGCTTTATCCTGGCGGCGATACAAACGAGAACGTGATGCGTCGAAACGCTGATTTGCATACGGAGGGCGCAGTGTGGGCTCCGTGAGTGGACGATCGCAGAGGCCCATGTGGCAGGAGAGAGAGAAGGGGGAGGTGGTGGTAGAGTGGACGAGTTGGTGGTGTTCGACGTGAGTCTCGGGCCCTCTCCTTCTTTTGGGAGGTTCCTCAAGATCCCCGGCCGGCCCCCCCGATGTTTGTGTTCGCGCTGTCGTAGGTAAGTCCGCGCGGTGGTCAGGTCCGAGAGTGGTTCCTGTGCGAGTCTCAAACGCCTCTGGCTGTCGTGTTTCGCCGCGGCCGCCGCCGCTGTTTTTGTTGAGTCGGTCACTCGGTGTCGTGCTGCGCGATGCACGCACGGCTGTGGTGGACGAGTGGTTCGTTGCTCCTCGGGGTTGTTGGACGCGGGAGTAGGAGGATGGGGGGGTCCGTGGCGTGGTTACCCTGCGGTCGTTTGGGTTGTGTGTGTGGGTTTAGTCGGGGGCAGTGATTGAGGCTCGCGAGGTGCCTGTGGGGATGGGATCGGTAACGTTTCGTGGCCACGCGATTCGTGTTTTATTATGAAAACCACTCGGATGTGTGTTGAGTCGGATCTGATGTTAATGTTTTTTTTAAAGTAATGTTAGCCTAGGAGTGGAGATAAGGGTGAGGTTTGGGTGTTGCTGTTTGTGTTAAGGTTATGGCTGGGGTTCGTGTTGTGGCGAAATCCACGAATTCCAGTGATTGGGTTCGTTACGATTAAAGCCAAATGATGTTAGGATTACGGTTAAGTTATTGGTATGGTCAAGCCTTTGATACTAGAGATGCAGTTAAGGTTAGTGCTGTGGGTAAAGGTGAGTTTTATACTTAAAGCCAGGTCATGTTCGCGTCTAGTTCAGGGATAGAATTAGGGCGAAGTATTGTATAACATTCAGTTAGGGTTATTAGTACATCTTTAGAGCTAGAGACAGTGGTATGGTCGTGGTAATGTTTTTTGGTTACTCAAACAAGTAGTGGGGCTGTTGCTGTTAGTCGTGCCAGCGCTCGTGTTTGGTTAATGCCATGGTTAGACTGAGGCTTAAGGTTGGTGGTGCGCCTGTAATACAGCCATGATGTTAGAGCTGTGTGTGGTTTGATGCTCGTATGTAAACCCAATATGCGTGTGTATCCACGTGGATCACATACGTACGCTAATACCGGTATGTGGGATTGTATACACGGCATCATTCAAGTACAGGCACGGCTTATACTGTACAGCTTTATATTCAGAATACAGTACATATACACTGCTACTGTCAAACACGGGGTACACGACCAAACCACTCGTGCACAAATGTATGCAGTAGTTTCTAAAGGACATTGTTTCATGATCGTTGTATACGTGTTGGTACGTGTTTATCTGCACATACAATAGCACGTACAATAGCGCATATAAGAATACCTGTGCAATGTGTTAGATGTGCATTGGTTTTCATATCAATGCCGTCTGTGTGGTCACGTGGAGAGCGACAGCAGCAGCTGAGTTGGTAGCTACGTGCCTGGCCTCACCTTGCAGAAACATCGTGCTGGGGCCGTGGTCAAACAAAAAATATCTGCTGCTCAAATCGACTTCCCGGTCTCCTATTTATTTTACACAGTTTACCCCGAGCACAGGTTCAAAACGCCAAGCGGTCACCAGCAAACACACAGCGCCTGCCTGCCGAAAGTTGTCATGGATAAAAGAGTCAACGCTTGGGTTGAGCAAGGTTATTCCGAGCTTGAGAAAGGAGACGATGGGGAGGAGGAGGGAATAAAAAAAAACAATGAAACGGCGCGAGAGAAGAAGCGGGGAGAGAGAAGTGCTGCTGTGACTTGAGGTGTAGTGGTTGGACCGGCAATGCCCCCCAGGGGTCAGCAACCTGCGGCTCTTTAAGGATTGCTAAGTGACTTTTTTATTATTATTAAGGACCACCGTCTCGTTTTCAGCACATGCATTCCGGCTCTTAAAATGTCGATGTGTTTTTTTACTCCTCTTGTTATTTTGGTTGACGACCCCTGGAAATAACCTTATACAGCATTGTATGTAGAACTTCTTTCGCACCGTGCGTATCCAACCGTACTAATACTCAAAATGCATATGCACTGCTACTGTAATACACGGGATACACTACCTAAATACTCATGAACACATTTATCCAGTACTTTATGAAGGGCTTGTTTGATGGCCTCTGTGTACGGTGTTGGTCTGTGAGACGAAACAGTGCCCGGTAGATCGAGTCAATACATCGGTGAAGTTAATGGGAACAGTATCTCTCCGTGGTAGTAGCAATAGAAAAGTGATAAGGAGGTAGCTAACCACGAATGAGCGAGTGAATTAATTAGTGCTGGATCATCGATAAATCTGACTGCTTTAGGGAATCAATGAAGGGTATCATTAGAGTGAGTGAGACGGCAACTTAGTGCTCCGCACCAGATATGAACACAGTATTCTGCCGAATTTTTGCTTTCTATGGCAGTAATGATTGTTATAAACCAGCCAGTCACAGTACATTGTGGCAAGAGGATCGGATCGTTCTGGTGCTTTGCAGAACGGGTAGTTAGATTGACGAGCTATGTGCAAGTCAGGTAAACTAGAAAATGTCTGCCTACTTACCCCTACCCTGAAAATTTTAATCTTTAACTTGGTCGTTAATTGTACATTTGCGCATTATTGTGAGTGCTTTGCAAATATTGCTGCTGTATTCTGTATTTTGCCTGGTGTGTATGATGTATGCAATTCCAATGTTTACGTTTTATTTTACGTAACATACTGCCTTTACCATCATCATAAAGATTATTTAAAAGGAACTGGTCAAGCTGACCAATGAAAGTGTTGAGTCTCATTTGGGCCGTGTTTGATAATATATTGTTATAATGACATGGATTGTGAATGGTATATACAGTATAAGACAGACCATCCCTTTTCGTTTTCTGTTCAAGGTACAGAGCGGCGCTATGAAGGGAGAATTGTCCAGGTTTTTGAATGAGCAAAACTGCACAAGACAAACACGTTATTTACTTTTTCTCTGCGGCCATTTTAACTCAGAATCATAATTTTTATTTAGACTGGAGGAATCTGATGAGCTATGAAGCTCCGTTTCACAAATGTCCAATAGGGGTGGGTCAGCAAGTTAGTACAACAAACAATAGGAGTGCAAAATCAAGGAAAGGTATGCCAATCACGAAAAATAAGTATCAAAGTATAGTTGTCCATGTTAGTGAAACTCTAACTTTTGCCCTGGCCACTTCATCATGTACTTTGTGCTGCTCATTTTGTGCAGAATTATCTTAATTTTGAATATATATGGGTGTTAAATATCCATCAGAGACAGGAGAATACGATTGTGCTGTGCCATAAATGGTGGACGCACAGGCCATGTGAGACATCTCGTGAGCTGCGGTTGGCTAGAAAACATACCGTGCAGTGTTTGAGAAACCATTTGAGGGCTCCATGGTATGGACTATCTTGGGAATCTGCTCTTCAAGAGCACCCATTAACAAAGCGGTTGGGGCCTCCGTGTTTGATCTTGCCGGCATTGCATTGCCACTTCTGTTTAAATCGTCCATGGAAAGTACTGTCCCTGGCCCATGTTTGTGGTAAAGATCCCCCGTTTCAACGTTTTGACTTTTGGGACAAGGGCTGTTGGCAATTGCCTATTAACGCCAGTACTACACACGAGGGAGTGCTGTGGCCATCACCACTTCTAGCTGGCTTAGTTTCACCAGAGCTGATGTTTACACTTTGCACCAGGTACTTTTTTGGGCTGAGTGGTCCTCAGGGAATCCCGAGACGAGTTCTGATGGCACTTTCCTTGGCTGGCTGCCATGGATGGGAGTCAAACATCGGGTTGCGGGATCCGTTGTGCAGTGCAGTAACCACTGGACCACTGCCTCCCGCATCGCCCGTATATCCCCTTAACAGAAGGCAGGCATGGTCACATTATTAACGTTGGCTGTTTAAGAGCAATGTAACATTACATCATTTCCTTTATTGAAACTGATTCAAATGTCCGTGATACATCATACTGTGTGTAGAATAGGTTATAACTTCTGACGTTCATATTCTAATGTCACGTTTAGGCTTTTGGAGCAAATAATACTGTACAAGTGAGGTTATAAAAGAAGGAATAGTACAAACGCGTAGATAAAGCGTGACAAAAATGATAGATTTTTTAATATGGAATCTCGGCATCAGTTTGTGACAATTCATTGAGTTGGTGGTGCTGAATCGACGCATGGCTTCTGTTGATGCTGGCGTGGTCACTGAAGGGCACGCCGGCGCATTTTTGTTCAGTTTTCTGTGGTTTATCTCATCGAGGCTCGCCATTGCTGCATGCGTCGTCGGCTGTGTCGCTTGTGATGTGTTTGTGATGCTTTGGTTTTGCAGGGGAGCCTTAAGGAATTTCCACTGAACCCCAAGAAGCCCCAGTGAACGATTGATTGTGGCGTCTGTGCCCTGCAGTAATGGGCTTCGTGTCTCGTGTTACAGCAAGGCCCCCCCCCGGCCGCATTGCACCACTGTACCCCTGGCATTTCGGCATTTGCCGCAACCCGCCAGCCGGCGGCTTGCTGGGGCCCAGAAAATGCCTCACCCACTTTGCTGTGTGGGAATAATTTGCTGGGACAAACGTGGCAACTGTTTTCCCCGTTCAAAAAAATAGCCGAAATGGGTAAATAGAGGTGGTTACCGCACGATAGTAGTGCTTTTGTCATCGAAACGCATTGTTGTGCTTAAGTTTATCACAATCTGCATATTTACAGTAAGCATCTTTGGATATACAAATCCTGGAGTCGTACATTCAGTGGTCTCCCTTTCCATTTTTAAATGATAACTGCACAAGTTTATAGCCTTTGAGAAGGCCCCATCTGGGCTGCGTTGAATGGAATTGAATCCTTGTTTTTTAATTTGATAAGAGCACAGTGCAGAGGTCCTTGTGTGTAAACAGTACCAGATTTGACCCTCTGTGTTTGGTTGGTGCCACACAGTTACACACTGAAGGCCTTGTTGAGACCTGAGTGTGACGTGTGATAAACTCGGCATGTAAACACCCAGGGCCCCCGCTATGTTTTGTGTTCACGCGATACCACACGGAAGAGGGTGGCAGTGTGCTTTGCCGCTTTTCTTTGTCAGTGATGGCCACTTTATGATGTGCTACCTAGACATTCATCAGACCTTTTAAGTACTTCTGCGGTAGTTTCGAGCTGTTGCTTGACTTTAAGTAA